GTTTTAAACAGTCCGATGTAGTAAAAGTCTTCTCACACTCAAAGCACATGTACTCTCTCACACCAGTATGAATTTTCTGATGTTTTTTCAAATGGTGTAGTAATGAAAAACTCTTTCCACACAAATGACATGAATGTGGCTTCTCCTTTGTATAAACTCTCAGGTGCTGCTTCAGGACTAAATCCCACAAAAATGTTTTTCTGCACTGATCACATGTGTACAGTTTCTCTCCAGTGTGAATGTTCATGTGATTCTTAAGGGTTGATGATCGTGAGAAACTCTTCCCGCACTGATCACAAGTGAACGGTTTTTCTCCAGTATGAACTCTCATGTGAAGCTCAAGAAGACATTTGTATGTGAAACTCTTTCCACACTGAGTGCAGGTGAAAGGTTTCCTGGTCCTTCTTTTCTTTAAATCTTTCTGTTTGGGTTGTTCTCCACTTTTGGCATGATTTTTATCCTCAACTTCACTCAATTCTTCTTTCTCCTCGTTGTCTTCAATCAACTCTGAAACTAAAGTAAAAACAGTACATTTTCATTAAAGAGGTGGTTGATTGTGATTTAAATTTTTTAAACGTTAGTTAGTGTATAATGTTGCTGTTTGAACATAAACAATATCTGCAAAGTTACGACGCTGAAAGTTCAATGCAAACTGAGATATTGTCTTTTAACGTTATGGCAGTTTAATGCCTACAAAAACGGCTTGTAGGGACTACAACGAGCTACTTCCCGGGTTAGTGACATCACAAACCCTGACATTTACATAAACCCCGCCCCCAGGAACATGCAACAAAGGGGGCGGGGCCATGTTGCGCTGCTTTAGAGAAGAGGAAGAGTTGTTGCCATGCCGTCAAAACTAGGGGTGCACGAAAAAATCTATTAATTTATGAATCACGATTCCGTCTTCTAACGATTCTAATGGATTCACAAGTTTCAAAATCAATGTTCTAAAGCAGCAGTTCTTAATCCTGTTCCTTGCGTACCCCTACTCTGCATCTCTCTCTCACCTGATTCAGCTCCATCAATGAACTGTGTTCCAATTATACAATTTATGTGTATAGACAGACAGATATTTTTCACATAGCTACGAGAAGCGTTAAACTGTTACAAATTAAACATTACTAGGATAAAACATACTCTAGGATTTTTTCCGAGGCCACAGTGTTTATAGATGATAAAAGAATAGAGAAGCTTCAGAGGCCAAGTTCAACCGTGGAAACCAAGCGGCAACCTTCCGGTCTCTCGTGAAGCCAACACGGAAGTGACTAAAACTGCAATTCATCAACTGGCCGCTAGAGGCTGGCTCCAATAGTGAGTCAATCCCATAGACTCCCCATGTTCAAATGCCCAACTTTACAGCTGAAAAAAATGTGTTTACAGCCTGGTCCAAATGTGGTTTTGGTCTATATAGCTAATTTTGCCCTTCATGACAACTGTGAGGGGGGTGAATTTTTTTATAACTCATCCATTTAAATTATATTAAGCCTTAAAGTTCTGCATAATTAAGGGCGTGGACACTCTCTTCAGAAACCTACGGGTGACGTCACGGACACTACGTCCATGTTTTTATACAGTCTATGGAAGAATCACGTGTACTTCAACTGAGAATTGAATTTATTTTAACTAAAGAAAGACAAGTAAATAGTAATAAAATAATAACAAATAAATAATTGACAAGCAATAGCACAAACAAAAACAATAACAAGATACAAATGAAATTAACAGTACTTTGTTTTTCAGGTAGGTCTAACTATAATATGTAGGTAGAGAATTACTACAGAAACTGAATAATCTATTCAACTGTAAAATATCACTGGATAGCCTTCACTGTATAAACAGTAATGACAGACAGCTGCTGGTTTATTTAGGCTGCTGTCTCTTTAAGACCTCATGCACGGATCTAATATACATGTGTTTTGCTTCTCAACGGTTTACATTCACTTAATAGCCTATATATCGACTATTTTTAATATAAACCCAGGGCTTAATTTGGGTCGGAATAAGCCGGACCTGGATCCGGCACCTCCGAAATCCGATCCGGCATTTTGGCGGATCCCCATCCTCACGCATCAATGAAAGACGCTCGTGCCAAGGTTATTATAGTTTTGCATTTTTAAATTTGTTTTTATTTTAATACTGTTTTCAATGTTGCTATAAATTCTGTTTCGTTTTTATTAGGTTCATTAATAATTTTGTTAATTTTAGTTTAGTTTTTATTTTGTTTTGTGAACACTTTCTTATTTAGTTTTTATATAGTTTAGTTTGTTTTAATTTTAGTTTTAGTAATTTAAGTTTAGCAGAATTAACAGAAGACTTCCAAAATGCAGACCAAAGACATTTAAATGTAAGCTTATTGGTGCAAACCTCTAGCCACACAAAATTAAAGCATGTTGAGATTGATTAGATGGTAAAAGTATACAAATTTACGCCAAAATGAAGCAGTCAAGCCTTTTTACTCCATGAACTTACACAAGCTGCGCTGCGATTGAGGGTCCCTGCAGTGTTCACTGCTCCTTTCTCGCTAAGCGTGGGATATTTTTTGAAGTTCGCTGTTCATTCCGAACACCAGGTAAATTTCCCTCTCAACCTCCAATGCATCGATTGTCCCTTATTCCTTTTGCAGTGAACTTTAAAAGAGTCCTGCACTCGGGCGTTTCTGCCACGGGCTGAGAATGATTACGAAAACGATTATTTAATTTTGATAATTATTATTTGATTTCAGTTAGGATTTCAATAACTGCTGTTAGTTTCGTTTGTTTTAGTTTTTCATTTCAATTCATTTAGTTTCTTTCTGTCTTTCTTTCTTTCTTTCTTTGCCTAATTGACTTTATTTTCATGCACTCAAGCCATTTAGAAATGAAGTCAGTTTGGTTGTTTGTGATTTTGGGCCTGGAGAGCTGGAGATCCTCAAAGTCTCTCCACTGTTTATTGTTCGTCATTTAAAAAATAATTGCATTTAAAACATTTTGTTCAAAAGTTGTAGACGAAGCATAAATACAATCCATAAAAACAAAGCCAAACAAAAAACTGGTAAGGTATTTAATTCATTTATATTTATGGAAAAACTACTGACAAAAATACTATCGGAGGAGATTAAAATACATGTTCTCATTTGATCAACCAATCACTATGGGTAATTGTGTGTGTTTGGTTCAAAAAGAACCGGTTCATTCGAGTCGTTCGTTTGAGACTACACTGCTTTGCCTTGTCCAAATACCCACACTTGCGGTCTTGGCCACTTGAGAGCGCATGCATGACAGGAAGTAAGTGCGCAATCTTAAAAACGCCAGAGCGCAGTGCCCTTAACTCACACTAAATCCACACTATCTCGAATACCACTCCGGAGCAGTTTTTGAGGCTTAGTGTATCCCATCATGCATCATGTTGTGGAAATAAATCGTGAGACTTTTTGCCGAGATCTTGTGAGAGGTCACGTAAACCTTTCCAATGTATGTGAAATATTAATAATAATTAGATATTACATATACTTTGGTAGTAAAACAAAGAGTTGTATGTTTTATTGGTGCAAATGAGTAGTGGTGATAATTATTTTGTACAATATTTGCAACAGCTTTTTATCACTAGAAGCACCACAAAATTAAATTGTGTCAAATTGTGCTTTTCAGTAGCGAAGCAATTTTATTAAGTATTTTGTAGTTCAGTATTTTGTATTGTTAACAAAATGTTTCAACTTTGCTGACAAATATTTTGAAAATCAGAGCAAGCGCAAGCAAGCGTCTCGTTTGAGTCGGTTCTTTTCAATGTGTTCAAACGTCACAAAACATTCGAGAAAGTATTATAGTGTTTGCCTTTCTATTACTAATACTATTAAAGCAATTGTTCTAATAATTTTTTGAATACATTTGAATTCCTTTGTTTAACAGTTCTATCTGATTTATTAGATAGACTTATCCGTATTAGACAGAACTGAACGACGACAGCGAACAAGAGGGAGAATGTGAGCGGTGTGTGCTCAGGCTCTGCCGCTGTCAATCCCGTCTCGAACGCATCGGCCAAACAGAAAAACTTATCGGCCGATGCCGATGAAAATGGAAAATATCGGCCAATATATCAGCATTGGCGATATATCGGTCGACCACTATTTTTAATATATCTGTTACTGGATCCAGATGTCAAATTATAGTGTCTGCATCAAATTAAATTTACAAAAGTGATTTTACACAGAAAATCAATTAAATGTAAGTGTCTAAATGTCTCAAGTAGCTTTTGTGAAAACAAAATGTCAAAATATAGGTGAAATAATGTTCCATCATCATTCAGCATAACATATATATTTTTATATAAAACAACATTGTTATTCTGACCTGTACTTATTAAAATATGTAAAAGAAAAAGACTATATTTTATTATATTTTAAATGATTCAAAAGTTCTCACTAACAACTGAGTAAAACCTAGAAGGATAGTGGCAAATATAAAGATTTAAAATGTCAATTAATTAATATTTTGGGGCTACGCTATATATGATCCTTAAATATAGTATTTGAATATGTCCTCAAATGATTTTTGTTCTAAATATGCCTGATTTGTATTTATTTATTGCTATAAAAACCTACAAAAGTATAATAGTATTTGTCTTTAGTTTGTTTTGGTGGATTGTGGGAGGCGTATTAGGCTAGAGCCTATTCCGCACTCAAGCTCGCGCATAAAGCAATTGCGTCAAAGCACCGGCAAAGTGATTATGAACGTGTCGGGGGAAAAGAAGACATTTTAATTATTTATTAATAAACTAGTGCTTTCTGACTCGCCATCTCCACATGGACATGCCTTTAATAGAAATGCACCTTTTCATACGGACTACAAAATTAAATATTACAAAATCGAGTGGGCGAGTTTTCCTTATGTTTATTTTATTATTCATATAAAAATGATAATAATCTGTTTTGGTTATATTTACTATTAATTGCAGAAGGTGCGCTCAGCAAAAATGACGCGAATATTGATGGTTTTCACGCTTAAGTCAAGTAAAAGACCGCTTCTTAAACCAGAGAAGGT